GACATCAAAGAACCAGATGCTATAGGCTTATAAATTATAAAGATGTTTTAGATAACCTGTTGTATGACATAAATGGCTTTTTATATTACTGCATGATCTTTTAGTATCTGTCATTTTATATTAGGCAAGGGCTGGTTAGATTTCATTATATATGTAATACTATACACATGTATTCATTAGTTTCCATTACGATAAAAATCAAATATTAGTTCTAATTAATCTCTACACAAATACATCAATCTTGAAGTGTTATTTAAACATCATCATTATTATTGTGAAAAGAATACCCTCATCTCAACAATTTACAGATCTATTACTTTAAATTTTAGCAATAATAATTCTAATTTCAATAACAGTTTCTACATCAAATCTACAATTACTTCAAGTAAATGTTTTACAACAATAAAATTCATTCCTGAAAATGTGCTTATTATTTTTGTTCAGTCGTGCCCAACTCTTCGTGACCCTATTTAGGGTTTTCTTGGCAAATATACTGGAATTATTTGACACTGCCTTCTCCAGTTGAGGAAACTGAGGCAAACAGAGTTAAGTGACTTGCTCAGGGTCACATAGCTAGGGAAGTCACATAGTCTGAGGTCAGATTTGTACTCAGTCGTCTTCCTGACTTTAGGCCCAGCACTCTATCCACTGTGCCACCTAGCTGCCCTTGGAAAATTTTTGGATAAACTAAATTCATATTTTCTGATATTTATAATTAGAAAAATGTTTTATCTTCATTTTAAATTGATCTACAGAGCAGTATAGCAACTACTAAAGTGTTTAAATTTCTCTGTCCTTCACCTCTCTGAATCCCTTCTAATTAATTCCTGACTTAAATTTCCCTCACTTTATCAAAATATACATAGATTCCAGCAAAGTATCTGATAAAATCTCTCATACAGGTGGCCTCAAGGCCACAGATTCCTACCCCTTATGTAAAGGCCTAAAGGCTGGAGGGTGGAAAGGTAATCCTTTGTTGGCCTAACATTCACATCACATACCTTACCTGTGGGTACATTTCTCTTGGGAATTCTACTCTCTATATACTCTTTCATGTAGTGACCTCATCAACTCCCCTGGGTTCAACTGACATCTTTCTGCAGATGACACCCAGATGTACATCTCCAGTCTCAATCGCTCTTCTCCAACTGAATGTCCCTTAGGCATCTTAAATTCAATATGACCAAACAAAATACATTATCTATTCCACAAAAAAAAATAACCCTTTTAAGAATTTCCTATTTCTTTGAAGGGCATCACCACTTTTCTAGTCTCCCGGGTTTATAACCATGGTAATATCCCCAACTCTTCCTAATTCAACATATAAGTGGCCAAATCTTGTTTCTACCTCTACAACATCTCTGGCATTTAACTCGTCATATTCACATAGTCCTCTCCTTAGTTCAGGCCCTCATCACCTCCTTCCTTCGAGTCTCTCTCCTATCCAATCCATCCTCCACCACTGCCAAAGTAATTCTCCATACATGAAAGTCTGACCATGTTACCATGCTAGTCAATAAACTCCAGTGTCTCCTATTGCCTGTAAGAAAAAATATTAATGCAGTTAAAATCCTTCATAAAGTTTCCTTTCCAGTTTCATTATATGTTACTCTCCTTCCCAGACTCCACCTTCAATTAAACCAGCTTCTTTTCCATTCCTCACATACATCTTCCATTTCTGTGCCTTTGAATTGCTGTCCCTCATTTCTGGAACGTTACCTCTGGTTCTCTGAATCCTTTACTTGCTTCAAGATTCAGCTTTTCTGATAGGCCTGACTGCTAGGACCCTTACTTCCTAAACTGCCTTGTGTTTATTTTGTGAACGTTCTGTATATACTAATTATTTTTATATATTTTATTTTTCCCAAATTTCATGTTAAAACAATGTTTAAAATTTTGAGTTCAAAATTCTATTGCTCCGTGAAGCAGCAATCTGATATGGTTTACACATATGCAGTCACATAAAACATTTCCATGTTAGTAATTTTGTACAAGAAGACTCGAATAAAAAAAAGGAAAGAAGGTAAAAAATAACATGCTTCAGTCTATATTCAGACAGTATTGATTCTTTCTCTGGAGGTAGATAGTATGCTTTGTCATAATCCTTTAGGGTTGTCTTGTATCACTGTATTGGTGAGAATAGCTAAGTCATTCACTGTTCTTCATCTTACAATATTGCTGTTACTGTGTACAATGTTCTCCTGATTCTGTTCACTTCACTTTGCATCAGTTCATGTAAGTCTTTCCAGGTTTTTCGGAAATCAACCTGATTGTCAGTTCTTTGTATATACTAATTATATGCAAGTTCTCTCTTCCCACAGAATGTAAATTCTTTACAGAATAATTCAACAACAAAACAGAAATTGTGAAAATCAAGGAAGATAACAAAATTGAAAGCAAAAATAACCATCCAAATGACGAATAAAACTAGGAACCGGTTTGTTGAAAAAACTAATAAAATAGATAAACTATTAGGTAGCCTAATTTTGAAAAGAAAAAATAAAATAAAATTGAAAGCATCAAAAAAGAAAAAATTCACAACAATGAAGAGATAATTAGAAATAATTTTACCTAATTATATACTAACAAAATTGATAATTTAATTAAATGAATATTTAGGGAAATGTCAAATACTCAGATAAACAGAACAAGAAATAGAGAATTTAAGTAGATCAATCCCATAAAAAGGAATTAAATAAGCCATAAATTAACACCCAGGAAAAAAACCTAAGTACCAATGGATTTACAAGTGAATTCTATCAAACATTTAAAAAAAAATAATCTCAATATTTGTCTAATTTTGCTAAAAATAGAAAACAAAAGAGCTTATCAAATTCCTTCTCTGATACAAATACTGTCTTGATATGAGAGAGGCAAAATAGAAAAAGAAACTATCCTTAATAATGATCAACAGAAAAATACAGTATTAAATATAATATTAACAAAAAGACTAAAGCAACATATTAAAGGATTATTGAGTATGACCAGGTTGATTCGATGCCACAAATACAGGATATTCAATATTAGGAAAACCATAAATATAATAGACTACATTAATAATGAAAATATAAAAATCATACAATGACATCAACAGATGCAAAAAAAGCTTTTTGACAAACTGTAATAACCATTTTTTTAATTAAAAACACTAGAAAGCATACAAATAAATGGACCTACTCTTAACATGGTAAATAGTTTCTAACACCAAGAGACATCTTTATATGAAAAGAAGGCCTCTCCAATAAAGTCAGAGTTAAAGCCAGAATATCCATTGACATCATTATAATTTGAAGGAAAAAAAGAAATTAAGGGAATAAGCAGAATCAAAAAAAATTGTCACTTTTTGCAGATGATAATGGTAATCTAATTAGAGAATCCTAAATATTCAAATAAAAAGTTAAATGATACAATTACTAACTACAGCAAAATAGAAAGATATAAAATAAACCCACATAAATCATCATTCTTTCTGTATATTACCAACAAAAACCAGCCAGAAGAATTAGAAAGTAAAATTCCTTTCAAAATAACAAAACAGAAAAAAATTGGGATGGCACCTACAAGAACTACATGAGTACAACTACAAAACACCCTATGAAGAAATAAACAGACCTAAAAGACATATAAATTGCTCATACTTGTGTCATGGTAATAAAATATAAATGGCAATATTGGTTCAATTAATTTAAACATTCATTATAAGCCAATGAAACTACTAAAGACTGTGAAAAAATAGTCACAGAATTCATCTAGAAGGACAAAACGTCAACAATCTCAGGGGAAACAGGAACAAATGTGGGAAAGATAGGGTTATGGCAATATCTTATCTCACACTATATTACAATACAATGATATTTAAAACTAGCAATAGATTAGTGGAAGAGATTAGATGCATAAGATCCAGATGCAAAGAAATACAGTAATATAATTTTCAATAAACCCAAAGACTACAATAATTTGGGTAGACTCTGTAAACAAAAACTGCTAAAAAAAATTGAGAATTTACACCTGTATCAAATGCAACCTTTATGAAAGTAATCAGAAGATAAACTATGTTCTACAGCAGACCACATCTTTACAGAAACACAGTTTACCTAAAGGTGTAGAGAACAAAAGATTCCACTATGTTTGTTTCTGTTGATTATAAAAAAGTATGTAATTCCATGAAGTTATCCAAAAGTTATCACCCATGTATATTTTAAAATCATGTAAGATAACTCTTTTTACAATCCTCTGATAAACGTCAATCGAGTGAAAAAAAATGGAGAAATATGCTTGTCAAAAGAATTTGCCTCTGTCATAGAGAACTACCAAGGCAGAGTGATTCCCTGTGGTTGGTGAGGTCATCCAGATGTTCCTACACACAGATGGCATTATGCTGATTGCATCAAACCCTGAAACATTAATGATACTCCTAAATGAGATCTATAATTATTCAAAAAGATTTTGGTCTAACTATCCACATAGGAAAAACCAAGGTGATTTGGAATGCTTATTTTCCATACTATAAGTACTACTATATAGTTATCAATAATTACAGTAACTCATTATTAGAGGAAAAAAATTAGTCCCCATAATGTTATATAAGTAATAACTAATTAAAAGTACTTAGCAGAAAACAGCATGTTACTATATATCTATAAATTTAAAGTAACAGAATAATCATTCACTGAACATTAATGGTAACAACACTTACAGAAGCCCAACACATATATTACTATGTGTTTGAACCATGTACCAAGATGTTATAGACGTGAATTTTAAGGTCCCATTTAACAACAAATCAGTCCATTTAAAATACAATAACTTAATATCATGATTTCATCATTAAAATACTTTAGTTTCTTCATTGAAGGATACAGCAATATACATGGTTCATATTTGAAAATATACATATATACACATACACAATCTCAAACAAATATATAGATACATAAATATACATATATTTGTATAATGTATGTGCATACACACACACACATACACAATGTTTCATTTACCTGTCTAGGAAGTCGAAATAGGGAATTCTTATAGAAAATGTCTTTAGCTTGGCTCCATGTCCCATCAATGATGATGATAGTAGAAAGATGATTAGGAGAATTTGATATCAATTCTTCCAAATTAATTGCTTCAGCACCAGGATACAAAATTAAAGTGCCAGGATTTCGGCAAATAGCTGAAAGTTCAGGATCTCTAAAATGAAAACAAGGAGAAAAAAAGTTCTTTAGTGACTTGAAGAAATATTTTATATTAAATTTTCCCTGTCTCACCCATCCATGACACCATTCATCCAAACAGGAAAAACAGTAACTCTAAGTAAAAAAAAATTAAGATACTGTGCATTCCCCAAATAACAACCAGAAGTTAGTCATTCCCTGGTCTTTCCCATCTCTACCATTATTCCCTTTATGTGGCACCTCTCTCCTGGCAGCTATTGGTATTTTGGTTCTAACCCAAAACAAGAATTATTACTCTTCACAGTTAGAACTCCTCACTCCCTTGCTGTTAAGCATGGGCAAGCATTTCACACAATTTAATTCACTCTATCCACAGAAAACCTCATTTTACTGAGAAAAGAGGTCCAAAACAAGTTTGAGCCACCTAGGTTATGGATAGGCAAGAACCTCAGACTTTGTCCAGCTCTATTCTGGAATAGACTGGCATAGGTCAAGTAAAAAGTTCATGGCCTTGAAACTACTAAACCAACTCTAATGTCAAATATAAGGTCAAGGTGTATCAGATAATATCAAAGCGAATATCAAAGACTTTGACTTTCCTAACTACATGGTAGCTGACTAAAAGTTGGAAGGAGGGAAGTGTTGGTCCAGAAAAAATATGACATTAAAATATGGGTCCAGAAATGACTTTAAAATACAATAAAAGATAACCTGAGATGGAAATTGTATAGTACTTAATTCATGAAACATAATCTCTAAGGTGGGTACAAAACAAACTAGAGAGATAAGAAAAGTCTAACTCCCCTTTGGGGTCAGGCCACTTACAGAATAAACCCAACCCTGTGAGTCCAGAGCCAGGACATATTGGTGGAGGAAGCCCCCTAGACCACAGGTTAGACATGAATGAGTGCAATGCAAAACAAAACGTTATGTGAAATTTATAGAAGATCATCATCACTAAGTAAGGGGCTCAGAGAAGACTTCAAGAAGTAGATAGTATTTGAGCTGGGGCTTAAAATGATGAGTGGGAGTTTAACAGGTGAAAAGGCAGAAAGAGGACATTGAAAACATAGAGAACAGTATGAACAAAGTAGGAAAACCAAAGTGGGTGTCTGGGAGTCAGAGTCATCCAGTTCAGCTGGAGCTTAGAGTATAGAGAGGGAAAACATATTAGAAAAAGATAGGTATAAACTTGTAACAAACTATGAACACTAAGCAAAGAAGTCTGAACTTAAATTGCTAAGTAATAGGGAGCCACTGATGCATTTTAACAAGAGGAAGCCCACAACAATTTGGTTCCAGTTTACCTTTCCATTCTAATTCCATATACTTCATGCAGCTTGAAGAAGCATAAGATAAAGAAAAAAAATGCTTAAGTTGGAGTGAGACAGAGCTGGGTTTGAACCTTGCTTCTGACAATTACTAGCTAGCTATATGACCATATACAAATCACTTAACTCCTCCAAGCCCCAATTTCTTCATCTGTTAAATGGAAAGAAAGGAAGGAAGAACCAAACCAAATGAAGAAATAACTTTGGATTAAAAAAAAAACAAAAGGTAATCAGTGATTTTAAAAAAAAAAGTAATCCTACAACAAGCAAATGAGAGTCATAAAGAAAAAAAAAATGTTTTTTTAATTCTGTTTAAAAAAAAGTCTTGCAACAGGATGGCTACAAGAAATGAAGTAAGAGGTAAATAAGGAAAATTAGAACTGAAATAAGTGTTCTAGAGGAAAAATTTGTAAAGAGAATAATAATTTAGGGGCAGCTAGGTGGCTCAGTGTATAGAGCACTGGCCCTGGAGTTAGAAGGACCTGAGTTCAAAACTGGCCTCAGACACTTGACAAGTAATAGACTCCCTGAAAAACATAATGGAACAATAAGGCCTTGATGATTATAGGAAACAATGAGAAATATTAGAACAAAATCAAAAGATTTAAAAAAGAAGAAGAAAATATAAAGTACAACTCTCAAAAATAACTGAAAATCGATAGAATAAGAAATTTGAGAAACAGGTAAAGACAATCAAAGAATAACCAGATTCCTTGAAAACAATGACCAAAACCAAAACTAACTCATGGACATTATATTTTATCAATTCATAAAGGTAAGTAAATTGCATAATGGAAAGATAAATAAAATGGGAGAGAAGAGGTTGAAGACCAGGGAAATGTGTGATGTATACTAATTTAGTCCAAGGATTAATTTTGCTAATTTGTTACTCTTTCTCCTAAAATTTTTAAAGTTATTACTTGTTAGAACGACTCTCTGGGAGAAGGTAGAAAAAAAACACTTGAAAAAATTTTGTGATATGAAAACAAAAGCCATCGGTAAAAATATATTTTAAAAGCAGCAACTGCAATCATACTATCAAAGAAAAAAGAGAAATTCATAATACAGATATAAACAAAATTACATTTTTCTAAGAAGAACCATAGACAATAAATCAATGTCAATATTAAATTTACATGCTCCAAATGCCAAAGTATCTAAATTCATAAAAGGAAAAATTAATTGAAATGCAAGAAGATGTAGATAGTAACACAATAATAGTAGGACATCAATATTCCTCTCTCAGAGTTTCTTGTGGCACAGTAAGCCTTTCACCAATTTTGTTTGTTTGTTTTGGTGAGGCAATTGGGGTGAAGTGACTTGCCTAGGGTCACATAGCTAGTAAGTGTCAAGTGTCTGAGGCTGGATTTGAATACGGGTCCTCCTGACTCCAGGGTTAGCGCTCTATCCACTGTTCCACCTAGCTGCCTCTGTCTTTCACCGATTGATACAGATCTACTTTGTTTCCCGTTCTTTGCTACTACAAAAAACGCTACTATAAATACTTTGGCATTAGCTTTCTTTTCATCAATGACCTTATCTGAGAAATCTAACAAAAGTAAACAACATGAGAAATACAGAATTCAACAAATTACTAGAGGATTTAGAGCTAAAAGACTTACAGTATCTTCTAAACGAGACCATTAAAGAATATTGGTATGTCTCAGAATTACATGGAACTTTTACAAAAATTGCCCACAAATTAGTGCACAGAGATATTGCAAATAAATTTTAAAAAGGAAAAATCCTTTATAGACTCAATTACAATAAAAATACTAAAAATATGCTACCACACTCCTTTAATAAGAAAAATATATTCCTAATATTTAAACTGGTAAACACTAAAATAAAGAACTATAGACCAAAATCATTAATATCAATTCAAAATTTTAAAATAAAAACCTACAAACAGATTACAGCAATTCATCCAAGAAATCATTCATTATGACCAAGTTGTATTTACACCTGGGATAGAGGGCTTAGAGGCAGAAAAAGACCTTTTTTAATATCATAAAAAATACTGACCTAAAACCAAAAGGAAGCATCATATGCAATGAGGAGACACTCCTTGAGAACAAGGACTGTCTTTTGTCTTTCCTTCTCTCCCACTGCTTAGTGCCTGGCACATAGTAGGTGCTCAATAAATGCTTGCTGACTGATTAGAAGTTTTCCCAGTGAATACAAGAGTAAAGCAAAGATACTTGGTCTCTCCACTATTATTTGATATAGTTCTAAAAATGCTAGCAATAGCAAGACAAGAGAAAGAAATCAAAGGCATAAAGATGAGGGGGCTGGGGAAAAAGGGGAAAGGATTTATATAATACCTATTGTTTGCTAGGCAATGTCTTAAGTGTTTTACAAATATTTTTATCTCATCTGATCCTCACAACAACCCTGTAAGTACTGTTACTATCATTATTTTACAGTTAAGGAAACTGAGGCAGGAATTAAGTGATTTGTCCAAGGTCACAACAGCTAGTAAATTTCTGAGGCCATATTTGAACTTAGATCTTCTTGACTTCAGACATACTGCTCTTTCCATTATGACACCTAGCTGCCTCAGGTGATAGGTAGGTAGGAAATATAAATAAAGATAGTCATCATAGGGAATCAGCAAATAAAACTAATTAAGAAAAATAGTTTCAGAAAACTTGAAGGCTACAAAATAAGTACACAAAAATCAATAGCTTTTCTATATAAGAATAAGAATAAGAATAAGATCTATAAGACAACAATAGAATGGGAAGTCATATTCAAAATAACTAGAAAATGCATAAAATATTTCTCAATCTACCAAAGTATACTCAGTACTTGTACAGAATCAATTAAAGAAATAAAAGAACTTTATTAGTTGGAGGAATATTCAGTACTCATACTTGGGTCCTGATAATATAATAAAAGTTACAATAATGCCTAAATTAATTTACCATTTTAATGCTATACCAATCAAACTATCAAAGAACATTTTATAGGACACTATAAAATAATAAAAAAATTCATTTGGAGGAACAAAAGATATAGCATATTATGAGAAACAACAATAAAAGGTGGAAATGAAATGAAGAATAATACTTGCAGACCTTACACTAGATTATAAAGAAAAAGTGATGAAAATAATTTGGTTGCGGTTAAAAAAAGAGAAGTAAATAAATGGAATGGACTAAAAAAAGGAGAATTAGAAGTAATGGAAATTAGGAAAGACCTCCCTTTCCAATAAGAACTACTGAGAAAACTGAAAAGCAATATGGGAGAAATTTTATTTAGATCAAAGACATACCATATGACACAACAAATTGGATATGAGACCCAAATATGAATTATCATGCTATAAAAAAGTAGAAGAAAAGCACATCAACAGGTAAGAGATACATTCCTAAGCAAGCAAGGAATAGAGAGAATTACAAGATATAAAGTAGGTAATTTTGATTATATAAAATTGAAAAGCTACTGCACAAACAAAATTAACACATATTGCATTAAGAGGGAAGTAAATTAATTGGAAAAAAATTTGCATCAAATTTCTCAGATAAGGTCATTGATAAAAAAAAAGTTAATGCCAAAATATTTATAGTAACATTTTTTGTAGTAGCAAATAACTGACAACAAAGTAGATCTACATCAATTGGTGAAAGGCAAAGGCAGCTAAGTGGAACAGTGGATAGAGCGCTAACCCTGGGGTCAGAAGGACCCAAGTTCAAATCCAGACTCAGACATTTGACACTTACCAGCTATGTGACCCCGGGCAAGTCACTTAACCCCAATTTCCTCACCAAAACAAACAAACAAAAAAAACTGATGAAAGGCTTACTGTGCTACAAGAAATGACAAACAAGAAGAATACAGAACAGCATAGAAAACTTACATGAACTGATACAAAGTAAATTAAATTGAGCCAAGAAAACAACAAGGGAAAGAACAACCCTAGCTGAATTATAAAGAATAAGCTGGGCCCCAAAGAACAGATATAAAAAGACATTGTTTCCCCGATCTTTTGAAGAGGTTGGGGTCCACAAGTATGGGACATTAAATATGATGCTAAATTTTTCTGAAGTAATAATTTATTTTGCTGATTTTTTTCTCTATTTCCTCTTTTTATTATTTTTCTTCTTTAAACAAGTCCTTTTTAGAAGGACTATTACTCCTTGGGAGAGAGAAGAGAGAAGGATATAGAGGGAAATCTCAGAGATTTATAAATTTAAAAAATCAATAAAACACTTTTTAAAAAAGAAATTATTAACTGCTTGCTCTCTCTATATATATGTGTGTGTGTACTCTTTCCATATATGTATGTATGTATACACATATGTATATATACACATAATTATTAAGAAATTGTTAGCAAGTTCTGGGAGATGTCTTGAAAATTTAAATCTCCCATCACTGAAATATCATGCCTCTATGTAAATCTTACAATCTATTTGCCATACTCTTCATCTATTTCTTGTTTCTATTCAAAAGGTCTGTAATGTATATTACTGACAACGTTACTTCCATTCAGTCTCTAATGATCTTTGCTAAAATGCTCTCCAACAAGTTTCTTCCTTCTGGTTCCTAGATTTCCTCACATAAGTAATCTTCTTAATATAATGCTACCTTGTCCCATCTCCTACATATAGATACTCACATGCTTTAACCTCATCAATACAGAAGTCCTTCAGTTTTTCTAATAAGCATGCAAAGATCTCACATTCAGTACATACTGCATATATTTCTAGATAGTCTACAACGATTCTGTCCCCTTTGTCTACAAACACACCACCAACTCTGGAAGCAGAAGGAGCTCACATAGTACTAAAGACCCCATTTTCCATTTTACTTTGTTTCATAAATTGCCATGGCCAAATGATTCATTACCTAGTGGCCAACACTTGGTGATGAACCACTTTATTCTTGTATAACACATTCAAACTATCTCTTACATCAGGTTCAGTCCTTCTAGCTTGTTAGAGCCCACCAAAATTACATTATGAATCTAGGGTCATCTCAACAGGATGAAGCAAATGAGGATTATGTTGATGTTGACCTAAATATATTTCCATTCATAATATGTATGGATCTATATGAATACATCTAAGACCTATGAGTTCACTGACATGCTAACTGCAAGTGTAGGAATGTACTCCTCCAATGCAGGTCAGAACTGATATATAACACATAATCATAGAAATTTGCCTAGAGATCAGAAAGATTAAGTGACTTGGCCATGGTTACCCAACAAGTTACGTGGCAGGGGTGAGGGATGAACTCAAATTTTCCTGACTCCAACTGCATCAATTCATCTATTATAACCTAATATATCTCTCATACACATGTGTACCAGCATTATGTCCAATCCAATCCAACAAATATGTATTAAGTATTTACTATATTCAAGTCACTATGCCAACCATTAAAAATACAAAGACAAAACAAAATACAGTCCATGATCTTAAGGGACTAACATTCTACTGAGATACACATTTCTATCTTACACAGATTCTGGACTCTAGCACTTTGGATGGGTTGCCTGATGAGGCAACATAGTAATCAAAACAACACTGAAATGAAAATTTAGGCCAATGGTGGTAGCACTAAAAGAAAAGGACACTGAAAATGTTCTTTGTAATCCTGGGCTACAGGCAGATTCACAATAGAGGAGAGGGATTAAAGTTAGGATCAAGACATCAGATCTATACTCTGAGAAAGCTGATGAGTCAATACACAATTATAGAACAGAAAAGAAAATAAGATTGAAAACCTCTTCTCCCTTCAAAAATAAAAAGGCTATACCATCTTTATAACAGAACAAATTTTGGGAATGGCTGGTACTAAATTTTTAGGCTAGTTTAAAATATCAACTTATCTGATTTATTTTGCCTGTCTTTAAGACCACTTCAAAAATCTCACGACACAAGAATTCATATTACACTTGATTAGTTAAACCATCCACCCTGAGAAGGTGTAGTTGGTGGACAAATTCAGGTCACAATTTTGAAATAACTAAAAATAAAACAGTAAAATGGAAGTTGAATTAAAAGTGGATTTACCTTTCTTCACTGAAGCGTCGACCAATCTTGACCTTAACTTTGTCCTGGGGAAGGCATGCAGCAAGCAGAGGTACTGTCCGTAATACTTTGTTTTCCTTCAATTAAAAAGCTAAATCAATTTTACATGGATAAGCATATTTTTCTAAACTCTTACAATATATACATTTTATTTTTAATTTTTCTGTTGTTAAAAGGATTGTCAAATGAAAAATATCAATATAAAAATATTTATTATATACCTCCTATGTGCCAGGCACTGTGCTTAATCTCTGAGATTACAAATACAAAGAATGAAACAATCTCTCCTCTCAGGAAATTTACTTTCTGTCTGAGAAAGAACAAGTACATATATACATATACAAAATAATTATAAAGAGAATAAATACACAGTAACTAGAAGAGTACACTAGCAATTGGAGGAACCAGGGAAGGTTTCATGCAGAAAGTGGCATTTTAGCTGCATCTTGAAAGAAGAGCTGAATCTATAAGAAGAAAGTATACTCCAGGCATGGGGATGGCCAATACAAAGGCATGAAGATAGGAGATGGAGTGTTCTGTGGCTGGTCTATAAAGCACAGGAAAGGAAGTACTGTATGTAATGAGGCTGGAAAGGTAAGTTGGGATGAGGCTGCAATAAGCTTTAAGAGCTAAGCAAAGGAGTTTATATTTTATCCTGAGGCAACAGTATAGAAGAGTTTATTGAGTAAGAGAAAGGAAAATCACTTTGGCTGGGCATGGTGGCACATTCCTCCTAGTGGGAAGGCTCAGGCTGCCTTGAGTTGCTTGATGAGGTTAGAAGCCAGAATGCAAAGATTGGGGAATTAGTAAAAAGAAGTAGAAAGCATCTTATATAGATAGCTTTCCATAGACATTTGGTTGTAAAAAGGAAAGATATAAAATAATAGTTTCAGAGGACAGTAGAGTTAGTTAGTAGCGTTGTAGTTACAGAGTAGGGGAAAAGAGGAGAGAGTGGGAAATGTTGTCCAACAGTTTTGAGATAAAGAAAAACAGAAAAAAGAGAACACATGTTGGATGGTCTCAATTTTCTCAGTAAAGTAAGTCTACAGATGAGTCTAGAGAGGAGTGATATGGAAGACCTGAAAAGAAGAAATTTAAAATTCATTTCATAAAACTAATTTAATTTTTTTTCTATTTTAAAGGGGGAAAACATACTTATCTACATAGAGCCAGTAGAATAAATTGGTTTTAGATTCAGATACAGATTATATTTCTATGACATCAAAGCAGTGCTCCTCTTCATTTATACAAAGCTCAAAATGTTCAACAGATGACATGAAATTTTCAAAATCAACTCAAATTTCTATTACCACACCTTTCTTAAATTATTAAATGGTTCTTAAATAGTATTGTTACTATACTACATACCACCTATAAAATATTAACAAATGAGAAAAAAAAACAAACGCTACAAATAGAAAATAATTTTCCCAAAGAGAAAACATTATCAACTTAGTTCCAAAAGTGCTAATAAGTTAATATTCACCTGTACAATACTGTTTCCCATTGCTTTCTTTCATGCTATATTATTTAACTTTCATTGCTTCCCACATCCTTACTTACCTCTGCTGGATGCTGAATTATATACAGGTTGGTAGAGATATTTAGAGGATGTACTGGCAGAAATGGACATAAGCAGACCTTCTGTGGACGACTGCAGAATTAGGGGGGAAAAAAGAAAGTGTTTTAAAAATTAAGAATATTTAATGCTATTTTAATGAAGCCAAACATTTATATAATCTCAATTGGCAAGTGTGGTGCTACTGTTTAGTTCAGGAAACACTGAGTTATAGGAATATATAGTCATTCACATAGTTCATATACTTGTTATTGGAATTTTCATTTTTTTAAATTTAGTCTTCCTTTATTTTTTATTAAAAAATAAGTTTTATGAATCTTGTTGGGTTTTGTAACAATCATTGCTAGCTATATACCACAACCAATCTATTACCACCTAGAAATGAACCCTCTCTTGTAAACAAACAAAAAAGCAGTTAATCAAAAACAATCAGACAACAAATTGGACAAGCCTAACTTCATAAATCTCTACCTCTCCGCCAAAAGCAATATATATATATATATATATATATATATATATATATATATATATATATATATATATATATAGTATACATAATGTTATAATATTTAGTATTATATATATATATTTGGTTGGTATATAATGGGCCATTATAGTTTTTACTTCCTTACAGTAAATGTGTGCAGCTTTTATTTTTATAAATAACATGTCTATTATAAAAAAATACTTTAAAAAAATACTTAAGACTCTTTGGAGGTCACTGTTTAGAAAGACATACAAGCAGCATCTTAAAATTTTATATGAACATTACATTTTACTCTTGTGCAACAGATTCACATTTATAGGATATACCAGGAAACTCAATATAACTTCTAAAATTTTAATCAAAGAACATGTTATGTACATATGTAACTATGCACATTAGTATACATCCTCTACTAAAGGTCTGCTATAAAACCCCATCATGATGAGAAAATGACTCTGATTTTTACTAAAACATGCAAACATGCAAATAGAATAAACATTCTGTTACTGTCTACTAAGACGGATCATCTTTAGGTCAGTCTGGTGATGGATCAACTTGTCTATTGTCTAAGGACCACCCTATGATAGTGTAGAGCCTCATTTTTAGGCTAGGAGCAGAGTGATAAATTTTTCAGCAACAACTCTAGATCATTTTCTAAGTAACAGAGGGATTGGGATCTGCATTGTATCATAGAAGTGATGCCAATAAAATTTCAAATCTTTAATGTATTGAAGTAGGAGTTACATTAGTCACACAAATCAATTTTATTAAACTATTACACTCCCTCCACAAAGTCCTTTTCTGCCACATCATGATAAGAAATAACTCTAAGTTCTCAAAGGTTATTTCAGTAGAGAATATATTCTGGCAGGTCCTATCAAGCTATCAAGATTTTAAATATGGGACCAACAAACTTTGTATTAGTCATCTAAGGATCAGCCTAAGAAAGTTCAGAAAGGTTCATCATCAGAGCTGGTTACTGATTGATATTTATTTCAACTACAAATTTCATTAAACAACCTGTTAAGGTACAGAGTAGGTTTTCATAATAAGTATGAGTAGATGGAATACCCACACTCATGAAATCATAGACACCTGATTTAACAGTACACCATGACTGGTTCAAATAAACAGGTGCTTAGTCCTGCTATTTACTGTAAATCTCAATAAAAATAATTGTGAATGGTTAGGAGATGGAGAATGCAAAACTGCACAAATTGCTATATATCATAGACCCAGCAATACCATTACTGTCTGTAACCCAAAGAGATCAGAAAAAAAATAACAAAAGGAAAAATGACCTATATTTTGTGGTGGCAAAGAATTGGAAATTGAGGGGATGTCCATCAATTGAGGAATGGTTGAACAAGCTGTGGTGTATGAATGCAATGGAATACTACTGTGCTACAAGAAATGACAAGCAGGATTATTTCAGAAAAACATGGAAAGACTTACATGAACTGATGCAAAATACTGTATACAGTAACAACAATATTGTACAATTACCTACCGTGAATGACTTAACTATTCTCAGCAATACAACAATTCAAGACAATTCCAAAGGACTCATGATAAAAAATGTGATCCACATCTAGAAAAAGAACTGATGGAGTTTGAATGCAGATTAAAGCATACTATTTTTTTACTTTATTATTTGTGAGTTTCTTTTTGTCTGTGTCTTCTTCCACAACATGACTTATAGGGAAATGTAATTTGCATGATTGTACATATATAACCTATATCAAACTGCTTACTATTTCAGGGAGGGGGGAGATGAAGGGGGAAGGGGAAAAATTTGGAATTCAAATCTTTTTAAATGAATGCTAAAATTTGTCTTAATACATATTCGGTAAAAAAACATAATATTATTTAAAAAAACTAAATTAAAATAAAGTATATAAAGAAATAAAACTCCCAATCTACAATGTATAAATGGTGGAAGGATACAAACATAATTTCCAAAGAGGAAAAATAAATTGTTCATAATTACTTGGGAAATACTCAAACCTACTAAAAGGGAAAAGAGGAAAATTAAAGAGGTACCACTCAATACTCATCAAATCAGCAAAAATAATTTTGAACAGAGCTGAAGCCAAGATGATGGAGTAAGGCAGGGAATCAATTGAGCTCTCTTCAATTCCCCTCCAAATAACTTTAAAATAATGCCTAAAAGCAAATTTTTGGAGTGGTACAACAAACAAATGACAGGAGTGAAGCAATTTTCCATTCCAATACAATTTAGAAGGTCAGCACGATAGGTTTCTCTCATTGGGGTAAGAGTGGAGTGAAGTACAGCACAGGCTGAGCCCAGGCAAGCCATCAGCAGGCCTTGGGAGCATGTGTATCAAGGAGGTTTCCAAAGCTCTTAGTTTACAGACAATAAATAACTAGTTAGAAAAAGATTACAGAGGACTCTTTGCAGGCACTGTGGGCAGGAATCTGTTGCATTGTCCACACTCAAGTCTGGCTTACAGTTCCAGGGTAAGAAGGAGCATTGGCCCACTAGTTCTTGCAGCCCCATGGCAGTGGGAATCCTAGTCACAGTTTCAAGGTAGAAAAGAATGCTTGTGGTCACTCACAGAACAGAGTGCAGACCAGGAGAGCAGTGACCACACTCTTCTTAACTCATACCACCTTGGAAGAACTGAAAATTTACAGATCCCCCAGAAGGAGCTCTGAAAACAGCAGCACAAAAAAACTGAAATTTGAGATAGTGCCTCCTCCACTCTGAGAGCAAAGGCCAACTTCAACATAAAGTTCAAAGTCAAGAAATGGGCTGAGAAAATGAGCCAACAACAATAACAAAAAAGAACCTGACCATAGAAAGTTACCATGGTGACTGGGAAGATCAAGACAGAAACCCAGAGGAAGACAACAAAATCAAAGCAGCTAAATGCAAAGTCTCAAAGAAAAATATCAATTGGTCACAGGCCCAAAAAATTCCTAGAAGAGCTTAAGAAGGATTGTTAAAATTCATATAAGACAGGGAAAAGATGAGAAAAAGAAATAAGAGTGATGCAAGAAAATCATGAAAAAGAGTCAGCATCTTGGTTAAAAAAAAAAGCACAAAAATCCACTGAAAAGAAATCCTGAAAAGAAAATTACATGCCAATTAATCTAACAATCCAGGTGAAATAGATGAATCTTTACAAAATACAAATTTCCCAGATTAACATGAGAGGAAACAGAATACTTATATAACCCTATCTTAGAAAAAAAAAATTGAACAAGCTATCAATGAGCTCACTAAGAAAAAATCACCAGGACCAGATGGAATTACAAGTGAATTCTACCAAATATTTAAAGAACAATTAATTCTGATACTATATAAACTATTTGGAAAAGTAGGTAGAATCCTACCAAATTCCTTTTGCAACACAAATATAGTGCTGATACCTAAACCAAAAAGAGCCAAAATAGAGAAAGAAATCTATAGATCAATTTCCCTGATGCAAAAATTTTAAGAAAAATACTAACAAGAACATTACAGCAATATATCACATAGATCATATGCTATGACTAGGTGGGATTTATACCAGAAATGCAGGGCTGATTCAATATTAGGAAAACTATCAGCATAATTTATCACATCAATATCACATGATTATATCAACAGATGCAGAAAAGGCTTTTGACAAAATACAACTAAAAATATTCCTACTAAAAAATATTGGGAAACATAGGAATAAATGGAACTTTTCCTGAAAATGATAAGTAGTACCTAACTAAAAACATTAGCAAGCATTATATGTAATAGGGATAGGTTAGAAGCCTTCCCAATAAGATCAGGGGTGAAGCAAGGATGCCAATTATCACCACTATTTTCAATACTGCACTAGAAATGCTAGATATAGCACTAAGAGAAGAAAAAGAAATTGAAAGAATTAGAATAGGCAATGAGAAAACAAAACTATCATTCTTTGCAAATGTAATGATGTTATATTTAGAGAATCCTAGAGAATCAACTGAAAAGCCAACTGAAGTAATTAACAACTTCAGTAAAGTTGAAGTATATATAAAATAAATGCACATAAATGATCAGCATTTCTATATATTACCAACAATGTCCAGCAGAAGAGATAGAAAGAGAAATTCCATTTAAAATACTGAAGACACCTGTCAAGACAAATCCAGGAACTATATAAACACAATTACAAAACATGTTCACATGAAGAAAGTCAGATCTGAACAGTTGGAAAAATATGAATTGCTGATGGGCAGGTCAAACTACTATAATAAAAATGACCATTCTACCTAATTTAATTTATTAACTCAGTAGTATAACCAAAAAATTATTTTATATAGCTAGGAAAAAAGTAACAAAATTCATTTGGAAGTACAAAAATATCAAGGGAATCAATGAAAAAAGATGTGAAGGAAGGTGGAATAGCACTACCAGATCTCAAAGGATGTTACAAAGTGGTAATCATCAAAACAATCTGTTACAAGCTAAGAAACAGAGTGGTGGATCAGTGGAATAGACTAGCCACACAATACACAGTAGTAAATGACCATAGTAATTTAGTATTTGATAAGTACAAAGATCCCCGTTTTGGGGACAAGAACTCACTATTAGACAAAAACTGCT